AATACCTGCAGGGTTGCCCAAGGTGAGCAGCTCCCCGCAGAGCTTCCAGACCGGAAGAACCGGACAAGAAAGGGATAGTTCTCTTCAGAGCAGTTGGGCACCGAAAACCTTCATCTTACCAGAACACTGTCCACTACTGAGAACTCAGGAGTAAGAAAAGAATCCTGTCACAGAGAGTGCTGGACAATGAGCCCCTCTGGTCAGCAGTTAAAATATATATATATGAGAAAGACTGCCGTCTTAAAGCAGGCTGTCCATGTGTGTCTAATATAAAGAGCGTTCTAAACAAGAGCAATTGTATATTGAGAAAACAGCCCAGCCCAGCCCAGATGAAGTCCTTAAGTCTGATATTAGCTCATAGGCTCACTACCACTGTGTAAATTCCTTCAAACTCACGAAACACATGCAATGATGCTGAATGCAGGAAGATCAAAGTGGATGGAAAATGTGGATCCAGTGGCGGTGGAAGTATCTCGGCGCTGGCAGGGGGTCTCCACGTGGCTCCTCCAGCTCCATGGGTCTTGTCAGCAGAAATGTGCAGCAGAGAGTGTGTACCTGGCCTCCAGTGAGCTATTTAGCTCCTTACAGTGCCGACTCAGCGCCTCTCCCCTCACCCCTAGAATTATGTCTCTAGTCTTTCTTCCGTTCTCCGGCTTGTGAGCTCCTGCACATCAGGTCCTTAGGAACACCTGGCAGTTCTGGGAATTAACCCCTTTTGTAGCTGAGCACAAGACCAGGGAAATCACAACATCAGGACTAACAGGACTGGGAGCACATGAAGACGCCAAACGTGTAAATCATCTCGCAGAAGCGCTGTGAAGAAGGTAGCATTCCATGGCAGCTTTCATAGAAGAGGAAGCCGAGGGCGGAGAAGTCGCACTAAAGCCCTTCTGTGCCAAATGCGCTTTGCACAATTGATGCACGCAAAAATTGGGATAAGAGTTGCAGGAGCCCTTAATAAAATGCTTTTAAAAAACCACAAACCCTTCTGTGCGGGAACGTGAACGAAATGCAGACCCTCCGGCTGGAGCTGCAGACGCGGTGCTGTTCACCTGGTGAGCACGCGTGCAGGTGGGTCCTCGCACATCTGGGACGGGGTTTCCGAGGCACAAGCGCGCTGGTAAATCCAGGTACCTCCGTGGGTCGAAGGGAAGTTTCAGGGAGTCCGAAGGGTCCTCAGAGGGCATGCAGGGCCGCATGGAAAAGTTCTCGGGTGGAAACTGGCTATTAAAAGGAATCCCAGAAGTAGGGGGCGGGGCGAAGTGGGCCTCAGAGGGCGTGCGCATGCGCACCCCACCCCCAATCTCCAAACGAGAGGCCTGACGTCAGTCTCTTCTATTCATCTCCTCCTATCCCACTCGAGGGGGCGTGGTTTAGGGTTTGGCC